GACTTGACTATGATGAGACTTTTGCTCCAATTGCTACGATGACCACGATTTGCACAATTATAGCTGTGGTAGTTATTCATCAGTGGAGCCTCTCTCAGATGGATGTGAAAAATATTTTTTTTCATGATGATTTATCTGAAGATGTTTATATGAGTCCTCCTCCTGGGTTGTCTCATGGTCCTGCTCAAGTTTGCAAACTTCACAGAACTTTATATGGCCTTAAATAGGGCCCGAGGGCATTGTTTGCCAAATTTTATCAGTCATATGTGACTTAGACTTCTGTGCTAGTGATCATGATTCTGCTCTCTTCTTTCAAACAACGTCTTCAGGTTTCTTTCTTTTATTACTTTATGTGGATGAAATGATTATTACTGGCAATGACAATATTGGAATTCAGTTGTTGAAATCTTAGTTACCGGATAATTTTGAGATAAAAAATTTAGGTCCACTTTGATATTTCTTAGGAATTGTAGTTGTCTTCTCTTCCAAAGGTTATCTTCTTTCTTAGTCAAAGTATGTCTCAGATGTTATTCAACGAGATTTCTTATCGGATAATCGAATAGTTGACCCACCTTTAGAGCTCAACATTCGTTATGCTTCCTTTGATGGTTCTCTTCTATCTGATCCTACTTTGTATCGTACTATAATTGGAAGTTTAGTATATCTTACTGTTACTCGTTTAGGTATTACCTATGCTGTTCATATGGTTAGTCAATTTGTTGTTGCTCCTACCACTCTTTACTGGTCTGCAGTTCTTCGGATTCTTCGGTATCTGTGGGGTACATTGAATCAGAGTTTATTATTTTCGTCCTTACTCTAATGCAGACTGAGCTGGTGACTCTATGGATCGCAAGTCCACTACTGGTTTTTGTTTCTTTCTTGGTGATTCTCTTATTTCATGGAAAAGTAAGAAACATACTATTGTGGCTCAATCTTTTGCGGAAGTTGAGTATTGTGCTATGGCATCCACCACAGTATAGATAGTTTGGTTGCGTTGGCTGCTTATTGATCTTGGCATTTCTTTGTCTACTCCTATTCTTATGTATTGTGATAACACAAGTGCAATGCAGATTGCTCACAACTCGGTGTTTCATGAGCGTACCAAATATATTGAAGTTGATTGTCACTTTGTGCGCCATCATCTTTAATTGGGCACGATCTCTGTCCCCTGCCTTTCGTCTACTATGCAGTTGACTAATTTCTTCTTGGCAAACACTTGATGTTTGATGCTACAACATCATGAGTTTAAGGGGGGATGTAGAGTAATCTAGTATATTAGCAGTAGGGGTAGATTAGTCATTTATGTTACTATGTTTGCCCTAGTATATAAGACTCTTATTGTGTAGTTTTCCTTTTAACGTTTGTGTAATACAGACTAGTCTTTCTCTTTTTTCCTCTTTTTTTGATAAATATTAACAGTTTGAAAGGTTTACTGCCCACCTATTAAAATTTGATGTTCAAGCCTTGTCAGCTGATCCTTCACTGTTCATCAGAACCTCTGGTAATTCTTTAACAACTCGCCTCGTCTATGTTGATGACATTATCATCAAGCGACTTATCCCTCGTCTTTTTATTTTTAAGAAAAGTATGTTTGTGATCTCTTAGTCAAAGCAAATATGGATGCATGTAAGCCCTGTGGGACTTCTTGCGCTACCTTCTCACGCCTCAGCAAAAGGATTGCCTCTTTCTGATCCATCCTCTTACAGAACCATTGTGGGAGCCTTACAATATCTTTCATTCACCAACCCTGATCTTGCATTCTCAGTAAACTGAGTTTGCCCATTCATGTATAATCCAACTGATACTCATATGGCTGCAGTCAAAAGAATTCTGTACTATCGAGAGGGACTACATCCTTTGGTCTCTTTTATCAACTTAGTTCCCTTGCCTATCAACTTTTGCTGATGTTGACTGGACACTAATCCATCAGACAGATGGTCTACCACAGGATTCGTCTTCTATTTGGGTTCCAATTCCATTCACTTGTGGTCAAAGAAACAACAAACTGTAGCCACATCATCCACTGAGGCTGAGTACAGGGCTGTAGCCATAACTGCAGCAGAGCCATGGTTTTGGAATTTTACTATTTTATCTGCACATTTGTATTACTCGTGTACCTCCTCTGTTGTGACCATGTTTTTCTGTCATTTTCCTAGCCTCTAACCCCTCTCTTTCACGCAAGAATAAAACATAATGAAATAGATTTTCAATCTTCCAATTGAAGTCAAACCATTCAAAACTCCTAGCAATTGCATCACAAACATCACACAACACAACATCATTAGAAGATTTGAAACCACAGTGCACTATCACACAGCACAAAGAGAGGAGGTCAACCAACTACATCACAATCAGAGAAGGCTGTAGTAGATCAATCCATTGAAGAATCGTGACAGTTGTACAATTAGTTAGACAGTTAGTTTGTTAATATTAGTTAGGTGGTATTTGATAAAATTGAAAATTAACTTATGAAAAATAAATACTGAATTTTAAGTGATGAATATTGAAGTTTTTTATCTGAAAATTGATTGTTATGTATTGAAATTTAAGTATTGAATTGGATCAAGCTCTTTGATGAATACATAGTGCTGAAGTCTAAAATTATTATTTTTCTAATTTGTTGTTCCCCTTTACCACCCCACTATCACTACGTTCACCACCATCACTAACACTCTACAATCGCCACCACCACCACACACATCATTGCCGCACTAATGCCCCTCTGTCACTTCGTCCATCATCATCACCCTCGTCGTTGTTGTCGTTGCCATCACTGCCACCACCACTATAATCACCCACTACCACCACCTCTATTATCACCATCGCTATCATTCCTTTACCACCTACACTCCAGCACTAATTCCTCCATCTTCATCATTCTACTATCGTCCTCCATCGACGCTGTTGCCAGCCATGATCATTCTTTGACCAGCATCATCGTGATCCCACCATCCGCACCACCACTATCACCACCTCCATAACCATAATGTCGCAACCATCACCTAGCATCGTCATCGCCGCCACCACCACCACCATCACGCTTCAAAACTCCCACCAACACATGACCCCACCATGGTGGTTGTGGTAGTGGTGAGGCTGATCGTGGTGGTTGTATTTGGGAGTTGTGGTGGTAGCGGTGGAGGAGAGACGATAATGGTGAGGTGGTGGTGGTGATGAGATGATACTTCGAGATTACGAAGGCTGTAAGGGATATGAAGTGGGGTGAGGTGGTGGAAGTAGTGGCGTGGTTCTAGCGGTGATAATGGTGGTGGAAAGATGGGTTTAATATGGGTTGAGATCAAAATATATGAGGACAAATTAGTCCATCATGAAAACTTTATAAAATCCTTATTTACAAGAACATTAAGTGATAACGATGATCAAAATTTCGTTTCAGTGTATAGTTTTAGTGAACTTGAAAACAGAAGCATTTCTTAAATATTTCATAAATAAGCTGCAAACAAAGAAAAAAAATTGAAAATTTGTTTCCGAAACATTGGTCAAAACAACCGAAACATTTCGAAACACACCTCGAAATACCACAAAACACAGCAAAACATACAAATTTTTATATTCAAGCAATGATTTGTTTCGGTTTCCATGAAAACAAAGACGTTTCTAAAATTTTGACCGTTCGAAACAAAATTAATTCCTTGGTGATAAGTAGGTGACTAGTTATTTCAAATTTTAACCTACTTAAATTTTTAAGGAATATGAGTTTTAGTTACCAAACACCCTTAATTAAAAAGTTATGGAATGCTTTCAGTTTTAACTATTGTATTGTGCTATCAAAAACCACCTTAGTTAGACTCTTGATAGTGTGACGTAAGTATGATGTATTGCATACATAAAGCTGTGTACCGATAACAATTGGATTTCAGAAAATGGGAACAAGATTTTGAAAGCTTCTTCTTCAACCTCTTAATTCTACCCAAGTTATGCAAAGGTCACAAGAGAAGCATCAACCTGCATGCATTTCCCTGAAGAAACAACTGTTAACCAATCATCTACTCTAAAAACTTAAACTGTTACAGAGGATATAATTTAAGTATTTATACTTCAACACGCCCTATTACGTGCACACTAAATTTTGGAACTAGCATTTGAAAATAGGACCTACCATGTTAAACAACCATGTACTCTAAAAGCTTTATACTTCAATAACAACAATCTCTTCTATTCCTGTTTTTCACACCAGGTAGTCATAACATCAAAAATTCAGAGATGGTAGAAATCCCACTTGGGTGACATCATATTGATCACTGCGTAGCATTTGGCTAAAAATAGTACATGTTCCCCTGCCTCCTGCAACAATTTTGACAGAATCACGCTATACAAACCTGACACCACGTTCTCTTACCTAACTTCCTGAATCTCCGGCCACAAATGTAATTGAATTATGCTGTCAAATGATCCGACATCCTATGACTGCAAAAATTCCTAGAAGTTAACAATTAAAAAATTTGGGCAGGAGACGACAATAGCAGAATATCTTTTTGCAAAAAATCTCTATTTCTCTATGTTGTAGATGACTTTGCTGCTCTGGTGTTTTCTGATAGAAACCAAATGCCAAATTTATACTTGAATATTTGTAAAAATTCAATATCATTGTCTGATATTGAATTATGTGATCCATTTTTTTTCCCATTTACAGCTTCAGATGAGTAATCATGCTTTGAAGTCTGTTTTCATGAAGTCCCAGTTGGCCTCTCTGCCTTCTTGGATTTTTTCCCTTCCCATCTTCTTTTATCTTATGCGTATGCACTAACTTAAGTATTGAGGAACAAGGTGAATTCGGTCTTTAGCCTATTACGCCATGGGCAGTAAACAGGTTTTCCGCATGCCACTTCGCCAGACAAAATATTACAGTTGCTCACTGATCCACATAACCAGGGGAAGGTTATGCGGTTAAATCTGAATTGTAGGGGTGTGTTGTGCAGCAGGGCCAATTCATTGGCGAGTAAAATAGAATTATTCCTTAATTACTTCTATGTGCAGATATGCATGCAATAACTTTTAGAAGAATTCATGTTATTTTCAACTGGTTTCAGAGAGCAGTCTTACTTTGGATGCATGATCCAGCAGGACGGGATGCAACAATAGTGCGGCAGGCTTTAAGTGGCAGCATAATCGATCTAAAAGTTGCGACTGAAGTGATATGTTCTCGGACTTCATCCCAGATTCAACATTTTAAACAAGTTTACCATGCAATGTTTGGTGTTTACCTTGAGCAGGATATTGAATTTCAAGCATCTGCTGATCATAAAAAGGTCCTCTCTTTCTCTCTCTCTCGTGCACACTAACTCACTCACTCACTGACACATACACAAATGCACATGGACACACTTGATCGAAATGTGCTTTGTGGAGCTTCATCTGCAAGCATCAGAATGTGGATTGTATTTTTTTTTTCATTTAAAAGACTAGTTTAGGTATATACCAAGAAAATCTTATTTTTCCACAACAAGCTTCCTTAAATTAATCACCTCACAAACATAGCTGTTTTCACAACCATCTGATGATTACTATAGGCTAAGGTCTACTTTTCTCTTTTTTGTTTTGTGCTTTTGTAAACTTATGTAATTTTCATGCAAATGCAATTTTCCTACAAAAATATGGGCTGCAATATTTCACTACTTTTTCCCAGCATGATAAGTCTCGTATTGCTAAATGTTTCCTTGGTGGAGCACCCCTGTCTGTGATTGAGACAATGCCAGGAGAAAGGAATGATGAGAAACTGTCATAGTAAAAGATAGGGATTTTTTGAGGAGGTAATGCATCTAGTACATGGGTTTAAAATATTATATAGGTTATCGTTTTTGCTTCTTCTCGGTGTGATGCACCTTGGAGCTTTAGCCAGTAACTAATAAACTCAACTCAACTAACCAAAGCGTTATCCCAACTATTTGGGATTGGCTCTTGTTTCGCTGTTGGGCTCTATCAAGACTTACATTTTCTATTAAACTCAAATTCAAAGTTATTTTGGCTGCATCTAACCCTGTATTAACACCAATACGTATCTTGTCAACGTTTTTCACTCGTCAATTGCATCCCTATAATATTCATTTTTAGTCACACTTAGTTTTAGGGTGTGTTGTTTTCGAGTGGCCCAATATTTTTGTACCAGAAAGCATGACTGTTCTTATAGTTGTTTGTAGAACTTACCTGCCAGCTTAAGATGTATATATCAATCACACATTACATTCTAAGGGTGAACACGATTGCTGTGTAAACGATTGTTGGTTGTTGAGCTTGTAAATTGATATACTCATTGCATCTATTCATACATATTGGGTTGTTCTTGAATTGGGGAAAAGGGTTTCAAAGCACTTAATTGACAACAAATTAAATAATTTGGTAATTTTGGTTAATAGGTTATAAATTGGTGTTTGTTCAAGTTGAAAATTTTAGTTAACCTATTCACCCCCTCTCTAGGTCATGTGTGCGGTTTCATAAGTATAATTGTGTTGGAAGATCGTTACAGTAGGAAATTCCATATGAGAATCAAGAAACTTGCTTGAAATATGTTGCATTCATGTAAAGAAAAGGAGAAGAAATAGAGAAGAGAAAAGGAAAGGAAGAAAAGAAAGACGGCTGAAAAAAAGAGAAAAGAGTTAGGGTTCTCTTCCTCTATCAATTATAACCTAATTCTGGTGTGTAATGCACTAATTATAAAGGTAAACATGATTTTTGGTTTCAAATACACAGATTCTGAATGTAACCAAGATTCTAGCATCAACTCCATGATTTGCACAGAAAAACCTAATTCGACTGTGTAATGCACTAATTCTGAAGGAAAATATGATTTTTGGTTTCAAATACACTGATTCTGAATGTAACCAAGATTCTAGCATCAACTTCACTAATTTGTGAAGAAAAACTAATAAAGAACACAAAGTTCTTGTTTCAAAAACAACAATTCCATTAAGAGGGATTTTATTGTTCTTTTGTTATTTCAATAACTCGTCTACAATAAGACAAGGGTCTTTTCCGTTTGTAGATGGAGCTTAGATAGCAGCTAGAATTAGAAGGAAGTTATGAGCGTTACGTTCAAGTATAACTTTCTACCAAGGTTAGCACAGTTAATAATATCAGCCCAAATAATAATTACATGACCTTGACTATTAATTACAGAAATTGAAACCTCGTAGGTTGAAAGCCACAGTGTTGATACCCAAACCATTAAACCATATACCTATTACTGGCCAAGCTACTAGGAAGAAATGTAAATAATGAAAGTTGTTGAAACTAACATATTGGAAAGTTAATAAGCCAAAATAACTATGAGCGGCTACGATATTGTTAGTTTCTTCCTCTTGACCAAATATGTAAAAACATTATGCTTGAATTGTATGAGTAGCATCATGCTTGAATTATATGATTAACATAGTTTTCAATCTCATCCTCCTTTATTTATAACTAGCAATGCACCACGTGTGGTTGCATGTGAAAAATTTATATAACAAAAAATTTCATGGCGTCTCAAATTTGTATGAAAGGATAAGTGAATACCAAGTATGTACTCAACTCAACTCAACAAAGGTAGGGAGAGATATGTAGTAGATCTTCTATCACGATTATACACGTGGGTTGTTAGACATAATTTAGAGGGAGGGGTGAATAGGTTAATTTGCTTGCTTGTCGAAGGTGCTTTACTTTATCAAAATTGTTTTTCTCCTAGAATGATTCAATTGTTCCTCTCAAAAGTATGCGTGCATCTCTAAAATATATAAATGTGTTTCCCAAGCGTAGGAAGTGTGTGTCGTGTAGTAACCTGAAAAATCTAAGGTCGTCTCCTCCCGGAACAATAGTAATCCGAATGGTGATGTGTTGGAAAATAAAATGAAAACTCGTAAATTGTGAGAAGAGCAACTCATGTAATAAAATCAAATGGAAAACAATTGGTCAATCATTGAAAGCCATCTCGTTGTAATTAAGCTTATTGATTCTCACCAGTAAATTCAAATACAAGAACAATATTCAACAACAAAGCTTTGAAATAGAAATGAAAAATACACTTGCAACTCGACAAATCTCTCACAACGTAAAACTAAAACTAAAACAAAAAACTAAGACTAAAATAAAAGCTCTCTTTAAGCTAGAACTCAGTCAATGTAGAGAATTATAAGTATTTATAGCATTGATCTCTTCAATTCATTGGATGAAGGTGCGGTGTGGGTGGTGGGTCGTCATCCGAAGAAACTTCCACCGCCATCATCAACCAATATGAGGCTCTGAATGATGTATTGGAGGTGCAAACTACCAATCGAAATAGAGCTCATGGGGATTTGTAGCCTCTCCTTAAGTGTAGGAGTGAAATAGTCGACCATCATGGACGAATCAAAACTCAGGAAAAATGTGCTCTAGCCGACTTATGTTCAACCAGTTGAAAGTGATGTTCAACCTATTGAAGTGCTTCAATAAACTGGTTGAATGACTCTCAGTACTTTTGCCTTTCTGAAGTTTCTCTAATCAACCGATTGAAAGTGTTGTTCAACCGGTTGATGTAGTCTTAGTATCTCAAATGGTTCTAGTATCTCAAAAATCTCTAATCAACAGGTTGAATGTGATGTTCAACCGGTTGAAGCTCTTTCCCATGCTTCTCTGCTTCAACTCCTCTTTATTCCAATACTTTCCCATGCTTTTTGCTTGCTTCAACATGTTTTCCTTCATTTCCTTTTGTACCTACAATCACAAATACACTCATTACTTCAATTTCAACATTCAAAAGATTAAACATTAAATACCTATGCAACAAAGATGAATTAAACAATTTAATATGCAACGTTATGCCCTCAACATATCCCCCAACTTAAATTTTGTTAGTCCCTAGCAAACCAAAAATATAAGAACATGCATTCATCCATTCATTCATCCCACACACTCAAAATATACATGTAATCCACACACACGCATCCATAACAACAATTCTAAAATGCACAATAAAATCAAAAGAAGTCTAATATATTTGGATCAAGCATACTAATCAAAAGACACACAACTGCAATAAAACTAAAAATTACCTAGGATTTAAGATCCATTAAAATTAAAGACACTAAATAAAATCTAAAACTACTTTCGTAGGGTACACGATTGCATTTAGCATATGCATCAAGCCGTTAAATCACCAGGTTACCCTAATGGACGAGTAACATATTATACTATTCTAATTAACAATGAGATTAAATAAAAATTCTTCATCCACTCAATATATTTACATATAAGCTACACTACAAATTTAAATGGTATGCAAAAGTATTGACATACACATTTTCATTAGAGACTCGTGTGTGTGAAATGATAATGTAATTTAAGAAATTTATTAAATAAAACCCACATATATATTAGTTATTCAAATTTAGCTTTATACAAATCTCACCAAGGATTCACTCTCAGAACAAAAAACCTCTGATTATAGTGACATTTCACTTATTGTATATATGTGAAACTGATTCTTATAGTTCAAAACAAAATGTAGCTCACATATAATTTAGAAATGATGAACAATTGTGCAAGCAAAACAACCTTGGCATAATCTCATGAAAGAGTGTTAGGACAAATGAAAGTAGTACAGTTGACCTATCTCTAGGATGATTTAAAAATACATTTGCCACTATTCTCAAGATCAAATAGGGACTTTATCCAATTGTAACATGGCCTTGAGTGAAAGTTAAAAAAATGAAGGATTATAAGAATTCAAAAAGATTTATCCCGTAAATACAACTTCGCTATCCACATCTCCTCATTTAGAATTTAATTGGCTCACTTCATTCATTCCTCTTTCTTTCCCTTTTTTCATTCTTCATGACTTTTTCTTTTCACATCTTTCTCTATTTTCTTCTCTTCATTTCTTTCGTGCTCTTTTTTTGTCTTGCTTTTGAATATTAAAAATAAGCTCAAATATTCATCATCTTCATTTCCTTCACTGTCTTCTTTTCTTTTCTTATAATCACAATTCCCTCTTTATATTATAAACAAAATGAATCACAAGATAACCAAGGAAAGATAAACGCATTTATGCATGGCTTGGAAAAACATGTGGCTAAAAAATCAAATTTTCATTAAAGTTCAATCCTTGTTACTATGGATAATGTCAAGAAAGAATAGGTTAAGGCACAAATTAATTCAAAAATGGCCTAAGATCATTTTTCAAAAATATATGGCAAGGTACTTCTTTTGCATTGAGATATAATCAACCAACTACCTCTTTTACACTAACCAAAATAAGAATAATTAGATTATTGAAAGAGATTGAATTTGAAAGAGTAATCTTTTGAATAAATGTATTTTGATCCTCCAACAAGAAATGACCCAAAAACTCACAAAGGTAATACATTCATCTCCACTATGTATGTCAAGTATTTTATGATATGAATTTCATTCAATAAATTACAAAAATTAATATTCTCATAGTGCACATGGGTTGAGTTTCGAATGAAAACATGTACATGATACTTAATATAGAATTAACTTCTACAATGTGCTCACATGTAAATAACTCAAGATTCTAGTAGAATAATTAAAATTCTCATGCTAATTAAGAGAGAATAATACAGTCTAAATCGGATGTTTTTTTTTTTTCATTTTTCTTCATTTTATTATTTTTCATATATACATAGTGGTGTAACAGTAATGGTGCACCTCTTCCCCCTAACTTAAATTTTGCATTATCCTCAATGCAAAAGCAGTTATGTAAGGAGAAAAATGAATACAATAAGGGTAAGAAAATACTTGGCGTCAGGCTCC